CCTCACCATCACACGATATACCTATGTAAGAAACCCACACATGGACCCCCTGGATTCAAAGTAAAATAAATAAAAAACAAAGTGAACTTAAAAGTAGCCAAAATTAAAACCGTAAAACTGGCACAAAATGCACATGCCCCCAAATTATAATCCATATAGATTAAAATAAGTTAAAACCGAAACTTATTTTAAACCTTGAAGTGGGGAAGAGCTTTGTAGGTATGAGATTCAGAGCAGACGTAAAGAACAAAGACTAATATGTTTTATTATCATAGCTTGTGAACTTCTATGCCAAAAAATAACAAAGAAAAATGACAACTTAGAAAAATATATTCCTAGCATATGACAGAAAAAAGTTCCTTGAAGTTGTTATGCAAAAGTTAACTAAACAGTTTCTTCAACTCATCAAGATTTTAACATATCTCAAGAGAAAAACAGGCAGAGAACATATATTCACTAAAGTAAATAAAAATGGCTAATAAAACATTTTTTAAAAATTCAACTTTATCAGTAACCAAAAATGGATATAAAGCAATTAGATTCTATGTTTAGCTTTTGATGAGAAAAAAAATATTCTTGTACTTACTCATCTTTCATTTGAGTAAATAACCACACAGAATCCTAAGACTCCTAAGCAAGCTTTCTTAGGAAAGTATGGAAAAACAGATACCAGCAGATACTTGATGAAATTAATGAGAAAAAGACTGACAGTTTACGATAATCTTACTGAATTTCAAAGTAAAAGCATACAGTCAGCTTACCTACCAAAAAAAAAAAAATGATAAAGCAGGCTATTTCAGGCCTCTCTGGCACAGGAAATGTCAAAAGAAATCAAAATAATCTAAAAAACAGGAAAATCACTATGAAAGACACAGATTTTTTTGGCTGAGTTTTCTGTATTAGGAATTACCATGTGCAATCCCCCTCAGGTCCCCTCCCACTGTGGGAGCTTTTTTGTCCTCTCAATAAATTGTTTTCAAAAAAAAAAAGAATTACCTTTGCCTTTTATAACAAAGTTATGGTTTCCCCCCTCCTGCCATAAACAACTAGTAAATTAGGAAAACGTATGAAACGATGATTTACAGATGTTGACTAACAGTGAAGAATTGAGAGGTGAGCCTTGAATCTTCCTACCTTACATCCTGGAGAGTTTTCAGGCTGAGGTGCAGAGAGCGTTAACAGAAGCAGACTGGTGATCAAGATGAATCGAGCAGATAGGTCAGATTTTGGAACAAGGACACTAAATTTTGTAGGACTGAATTTGGAAAAGGACTGTCACAGAGAGAAATTGCTCTGGAGATCTGCAGAGGAACTTCAAGTTTCTGGATAAGTACTAATCTGTGCAAATGGGGAGAAGTTCTTTGAGGCTGGAGAAACAAACAAGAAGCGGTAGGCCGAACAATACCCAGAACTCACATAAGGCTGGGAATAGTATTCTCACTAGACAGAATAGGAGTGCCTCTTAATACACTGAATCAAATCCTCAAAAAAGTAATGCCTCAGAAGTAGGGTCAAATTAGCCCTAGACTGAGGACTATTCTGGTTCTAAGGCCTTAGTTTGCTTAGCCTGTCATTACCCTAGACTGGGTGGCTTAATAACAGATTTATTTTCTCATCTCTCAGGAAGTTAGGAAGTCCAAAATCAAGATAAGGGTTGACTCAAATCCAAAAATCTGACATCTGAAATGCTCCAAAACCCAAATCTCTGAGTACTGACATGATGCCACAAGTGGGAAATCCCATACCTGACCTCATCTGATGGATCAGACAAAATGCAGTCAAAACTTTGTTCCATGAACAAATACTATATAAAATTACATTCAAGCTATGTATATGAGGTATATATGAAACAAATAAATTTCATGTTTAGACTTGAATCTCATCTCTGAGTTATGTCATTACTTAAATGCAAGTATTCCAAAAAATAGTCAAAATTCAAAACACTTCTGGTCCCAAGCACTTCAGATAAGAGATACTCAACCCATACCATCCAATTTGGTTCAAGGCGAGGTTTCTCTTTCTTACTTGCAGATGGCCACCTTCTCACTGTGTATTCACATGATCTTTTCTCAGTGTGCCCACATGGAAAGAGACCAAACTCTTTAATTTCTCTTATTATAAGGTCACTCATGCCATCATGAGGATCTCACTTCCATGACCTCACCTAATTCTAATTATCTCCCAAAAACCCCATCTCCTAATACCATCATATTGGAGGTTAAGGCGTAAACGAATAAATTTTGGGAGAACACAATTCAGTCCATAGCACCCACCTTAATAAAAGTTAAAAGAAAAACTCAAAATGACCAAACTGAGTCCAGGTATCTATGTAATGCCCAACGATGAAAAATTCACAATGTCTAACATCCAATCAAAAGTTACCAGTCATGCGAAGAGGTAGGAGGATATGATCACTCAAGAAGGATTATAAAAATAGGAAAAAGCCAAAAATGAAACAGATTAAAAAACTAGACAAGCCCATTAAAACAGCTATAATAAATCTTATAAATATGCTTACTACATAAGGACATTATGAACATAATGAAGAGAGAAATGAGGATATGAAAAAGACCCAAGTGGAACTACAAGAGATTAAAAATGTAATGTCCAGAATGAAAAATAATCTGGATGGGACTAGTAGACTCGATTCTGAAGATCAATTAATCTGAAGATAGCCATTAAAATGGTCCAAAATGAATCACACATTGGGGAGAAAAGAGAATTGCAAAGAAAGAAAGAAAAAAGCCCCAGTGACCTGCAAGATCTATACCTGGTATCTCATACAAAAATTAACTTGATATGGATAATATACCTAAATGAAAGAACTAAAAACATAAAACATCTAGAAGAAAATTTTTTAAACTCTGGATTAAGATCTATTAGGTAGGCAGAAACCAAAAGAGAAAACCATGAATAAATTATACATCAGCAAAATTAAAGACTTCTCCACAAAAGGCAGGAAATGGAGAGGCAAACACAGACCAGGAGCAAATATTTTCAAAACACTTCTCTGATAAAGGACTTTTATTCAGAATATGTAAGTAATTCTAACTCAATATAGTGACGACTCAATTTTTAAAAATGAACATGTGTCAGGCTCAGTGGCTCAGCCTGTAATCCCAGCACTTTGGGAGGCTAAGGTGAGTGGATTGTCTGAGCCCACTGGTTCAAGACCAGCCCGAGCAACTTGGCAAGACCTCATCTCTACAATAAACCAAAAATTAGCCGGGTATGGTAGCACGCGCCTGTAATTCCAGCTACTTGGAAGGCTGAGGCAGAAGTATCGCCGGAGCCCAGCAGGTCAAGGCTGCGGTGGCTGGGAGTGTGTCACTGCACTCCAGTCTGGGCAACGGGGTGAGACTCCAACTCAAAAAATAAAAATAAAAATGAGCATATGACTTGAACAGACACTTCAAAAAATATATACAAATAGCAAATATGCATGTGTAAAGATGCTCAACATTATCCATCATTAGATTATGATACAACTAAAAACCCTAATGAGATAACATTAGGGTTATGTACTCCCACTCAAATGGCTAATATTTTATTTTTATTTTTTTTTGAGTTGGAGTCTCACTCTGTCGCCCAGACTGGAGTGCAGTGGCCGCTCCTGGCCACCGCAGCCTCGACCTGCTGGGCTCCGGTGATCCTTCCGCCTCAGCCTGCCAAGTAGCTGGAATTATAGGCATGCGCTACCATACCCGGCTGATTTTTTGATTATTGTAGAGATGAGGTCTCGCTGCCCAGGCGGGTCTCAAAACCATGGGCTCAGGCAATCCACTCACCTCAGCCTCCCAAAGGCGCGGGATTACAGGCTGAGCCACCGAGCCCGGCTTAAATGGCTAATATTTTAAAAGCTAACAATATCAAATGTTAACAAAGATGTGGCGCAATTACATCTATTCTCTCTCATAAATAACTCATGGGAAAGGAAAACTATATAGCCACTTTGGAAAACATTGGCAAAATTAACATATACTTACTTGTGATTCAGTAATCCAACTACTAGGTATTTACCCAAGAGAAATGAACAATGTTCACACAAAGTGTATGCAAATGTTGATAGCAGCTTTATTAGTAAAGGCCCAAATGGGAAACAACTGAAATACCTTCTAATGGGGAATAGATAAACTGAGATATATCAGTACAATGGTACTACCACCAAATAAGGAAAAGGAAAAAATTATTGATATATATAACTTGGATGAATCTCAAAAACATCCTACTAGCTAAAGAAGACATATATATAAAAAGTTAAATATCACCTGACTCCATTTATATGAAATTCTTGAAAAGTCAAAATTATAGTTACAGAAAGCAGTGATTGTCTGTGGCTGCAGTTGGGGAAAGAGTCTACAAAGTGACATGAAGAAACATTTTGGGGGATGATGGGAATTTTTATGGTCATTACATGAACAGATATATTATTAGTCAAAACTCAAACTATGCTTAAAATGGGTAAATTTTAGTACATGTAAACTGTGTTACTAAAAGTAATTTTAAGTTATAGAAATAAGGCACTTCAATGTCTAGAACATTATTTCCATGTGCTTAAATTCTGAGCTCTACACGTGTTACCATGGTAATTTAACCAAGCCTTATTTGGCTATATTCTAGTAGTTTTTGTTCAAAGTCTTTCAGCATTATAGTCACAGAAAGATACCAGAATTATGGTGTTCAGGGCTAGCCATTCATGTGAAGATATTCATGAGGTAAGTCACAAATACGCTTTTATAACTTTGGTGGGAAGCTGCAACTAGAGATACAGATTTGGCAGTCATCTGCAGAAAATAGTAGAAACTGTGGAGTCGATAAAATTGTACTCTTTTCTCTCTTCTTACTAGTCCACAGAACCATAGGAAATACTTAGTCAAACCTGAAATAAGTGAATGACTTCAATTTTTTAAAGCACCCTTTCCATCGGATCCAAGTGATAATACCATTAATTTAAAAACATGTTTTCAGTATATTTATCTCTCCTAACTCAGATATCTCACCTGATTTAATTTTTCAGTGTGATTTAGCCTTGAAGTCTCCACTATATTTAACCTGGAACTCTTTTCCATGTTCAGCATTCTCTTCGGTGGCTCCGTGTTTGAAATGGGTTGTGAAAAGCGTGACTTTGCTACTTGAGAGCCTGCAGAGTATGATCCCTGTTTCATTCTAAATGACTGCGTAATAATTTTACCTTTTGCAATAGAAAAGAGAAAAATTGTCACTAGAAATTTCTATTTTTTTTTCTGATGGTTATATATAGAGGCTACTGTGAGCTAACTGCCCTCAACTTAGAAGTAAAAATTAAGGAAAGAAAGCTCACATTTTTATATTAAGCTAGTAAAGCATACATATAGTGTGATTAGTCATTCATAGCAGAAAACCATGAGATTATAAGTTTGTTACTGAAAAGGTTGAGGGTTACCTAAAATGCCACTGAAGGTCACCTGAATAGTATTACAGAGATGTGAAATTCAATAGGTAAAAACATAAAAAGTTGTATCCCATTTAGAAGACCAAAAAATCAAGTAAGCAGTCTGCTTAGAACTATGCTTCTCAAACTGGATAATAGTTTGAGGATAATAGCATGGGGAGAGGGAGGATGAAAAGCTACAGAATAAAAGATATTATTCTAGAGTATAAATGAAGAGGTGTTTTATGGTGTAAAATATCAAACATATATCACTAGACCTCACCATGGCCCAGTTTTTTTTTTTTTTTTTTTTAGTCTAAGGTAGTAGTTCAAAAACGAATAATAACTATCAGTTACTTCCAAGATATCCTGATAAGAGGAAGAAGGGGCCATGAAGGCATGAATGGGAAATATACTGCTTTATACATCTTACCTCTTATAAGTTTAATAATATCAGTTTGTTTGAAGATTCAAAAATACCGACAAGGTTAAGGGCTAGACTTAAAATACTCAGTGGTCTCCAGAGCCTTCCTTGACCAGAAATATTCTCATATCCTCAAACTACACTACCCACCATGGTTTAAATATTGGTTTGTGACACATTCTCACAGTTCACCTACACCAGTCTAAATGCTGATATCGAGAAAATCTCTAAATAGGCATAGAATTTTCCCAAATAGCTTCCCCCTATGCTCAACTATGTTGTCTAGGGAGATAACTATACAAATGGTCACATTTGTCTTTTGTGCTATTAATAGGCACAGCAATTGGGTAGAAAAGCACTGGATGAGTAATAATAAGAATTAGGTGTCTAATCCTAGCTGTACCACCTTTTCAGTCATGTGACTTTGGAAAAGCTATTTAACTTTCCTGAGTTTCTGGTTTCTTTATGTACAAGATACGGTTATTCATTCTACCTAGTATGGTAATGAGAATCCAAGGAAAAATATGGTAGTTATCATCACACTATATAAATTACTTAAGTATCTTCTAGGATATCTCCAGTGGTGGCAAAGATCAGATGGGCTAATACTAGTAACTTTTTTTTAGCATGTTAATTTTTCAATTTCCATGTTATATCTTCTTTACATGTTCACGTAAAATTCATTTACAGTGCTCTAAAAGAACGGATCTTGTGGGGGTTTTTTTATTATTATAATAACGGCTTCCACTTATGAGGTTACTAAAAGCTAGGCCTCTACAGACCTCATCTCAGGACAACCCCAAGAGGCAAGTATTATTATTTCTATTTTAGAGATGAGGAAGCTAAGACTTAGATCAAGTAACTTGCCTGAGATCACTTAGATAATATAGCAATAAAGCCAGATTTCAACTTTAACAAACTCATGGAGCTTAGTCATTACACACCTCTGTAAGCGCCATGACTGCTCCAACACTGCTGACTCACCACACATTAATGCTAACATGCTTACCTGCTGGCCATCCTCTCTGCTTTTCCTCTACGACACTCTTCTTTAGCCTCAACAAAGAACCTGCTCTGGTCTGCTCTACAGAAATGACATCGGAAGCTGCATTGAGCACTTCAAACATAGAGAGGAATCCATATTGTGCATATTGAAATGATCGTCCAAATCGCTTGGCAAATGCCTTTTCAAAATCAGAAAGGAGAACAGGTGATAACGTCAACAGGTCTTTCAATTCACTCTTCACAACAGCTGGAAGAATAGGGGGAACCCTTCCTCGGTAAGGTACTTGCTGACAAGACCTTGGCCCAGAACAAACATTGGCCCTTCCCTTCTGCATGAAGTTTCGGGATTTATGGCTGCTCCTCTGTTTTGCAACTAGGCTTGCTATTCCTTTGGTGGATTCATCTGGAATGGCTAAGGAGATGTGAAAAAAGAAATCACATTTAGGTGGAAAATGTACTCCCTTCTTTATCCTTTGTATCTGTGCTTAGACAGTTTTTAACTCTCCAAGGAGCTGTTTAACTAAGTAGCACAACAAACAGGAACTCTTGGTGCCTCCATTTCTTGCATCTTGGGCAACAGCTGGCTAGCTCCTCTACCAGGCGATGAAGAGAGAACCCAAGGTACTATCATTATTGCTAATTGGCTCCTGAAAGATTTGAAACTCTCAGGATGAATAACAAACTTCCCTACAATGCTTAGTTTATGCTTCATGGAATTTGAAACATGTGTAATTAGAAAGTCCCAGTGTTATGTTTCTCCTGGACTTAAGGTGCAATAACCTGAAATCATATGCGAAATGGATTTTGTTTTGTTAAGGCTCGAACTTTGCCCACAACTTCAAAAGGCACCTATGACTTCCCCTCCCCTGACAAATTCAGGGATGCAAGGACAATGACAGAACTAGGACAACTTTTTACTAAGTGATTATTTTTATTACCAAGTTCATAGACCTTCAGAAATCTTAAAACCTACCGTGCAGTATTACAGTACCGTCCCCACTGGAGCAGACACTAACAACGTCCGGCATGTCCAATACCAGCTCCATCGTGGACCGATATCCAAGGATTCGGAGTGGTAGATGGTTGCCAACCATCAAAAGATACTCCTTCTCCAACTGCTGTGGGGTCAAACCGTCTTTGGCGGAAATGAGAAGTGACCTTATTTCTTTCCTCACACATTCTTGTATACGCTCCTGTTCAGACATTGCACCCTACAGGATTTGAGACAGAAACACTGATCTTGAAGAAAACGGGCAACCCCATGAAAAAAGATGTAACACGGGCAATAGTGGAAGATAAACAACTCAGACGCACGTTGTAAAGGGAAGAAGGCAGAAGCAATCTCTTGAGGGTGGCTTGCACCTCGCCAATCCGCCACACAATTAAAACCCTAAATCTTGGCCTGCAGAGATGAACCTACGTGTATCTCAAGAAATCACTGCTCTGGCGAGCGAGCGAGGCCTTTACTCGGGTACCTGCAGGGCGTTATTCTCCGACGGACCAGGAAATGGGGTGTGCACAGTCCCGCCGAGGGGGAGAGGCCCCGCGGCGGACAAACGCCCCCCGGGTACTTTTCTCCATCCCAGGCCCGCGAGAGGGCTCCCGCCTCTCACCTGAAGTCGACGACCAATCTTCGCCCGCCCCCTCCTCCTTGGTCGAGGGGTGGGGTGGGGTGGGGAGGTCAAACCCAGTGGAGTACCTGTAGCTTAAATCCACAAAAATGAGGGGGGTCTCCCTATGACTGAAACCCCCAATAGTTTCTTACTGTCACTCTGGTTGACATGTAGCCTCCAGTATCTCATTAAAATTATCTTTTAAATGTTCCTATCAATTTATGGCTCCAGAGATTTCTGTCTCAGCTAAGCTGGTGCTATATTTGCCTGCCCCTCTAGATTTTGGCATGACAGTTTGACATGCGACTTCAGTCACCTGAAGAATTTAATAAAAGCCATTGACTTTCAGTTTGTTTAGCTTTCTCTTGCTGTACGGACATGAGTAGTGTTTTTCCAAATTTTCTTTATCTTGAACCTGAGACTGGAAGTTAGTGATTGATATGTGAAAAAAAGCTACTTAGAAACATTTTGTCC